GGAAGGGGCCGACAGCCCGGGGCCCCCCACGACCGCCGCCCCCCGAGCCCCCGAGCCTCTTCCCGAGTGCCGGCCGAACGCCTCCGTGGCCAACCTCACCGGCTTTGCTGAGCTGCCCAACCACATCAAGGACTTCCTGCGCTACCGCCACTGCAGGGCCTTTCCGCTGCTGCTCGACCTGCCCGGGAAATGTGGCCCCCCCGAGGCCTCCCACCAGGTCTTCCTGCTGCTGGCCGTCAAGTCCTCCCCAGACAACTACGAGCGCCGTGAGATCATCCGCAAGACCTGGGGCCAGGAGCGCACCTTTGCTGGCATCCACATCCGCCGCGTCTTCCTCTCTGGCGTGGCAGCCAACGCCCGGGAGGCGCGCAAGCTCAACCAGCTGCTGCGCCTGGAGCATGCCGAGCACGGCGACGTCCTGCAGTGGCGCTTCGTGGACAGCTTCTTCAACCTCACCCTCAAGCAGGTGCTCTTCCACGCCTGGCTGGAGAGCCGCTGCCCGGGTGTCCGCTTCGTCTTCAACGGGGACGACGACGTCTTCGCCAACACCGACAACCTGGCACAGTACCTGCTGGGGGTGCCCGGCGCGGGGGACCAGCACCTTTTCGTGGGCCACCTCATTACCAACGTGGGCCCCATCCGGGAGAAGTGGAGCAAGTACTATGTGCCGGAGCAGGTCACCGCCTCCAACGCCTACCCGCCCTACTGCGGGGGAGGTGGGCTGCTGATGTCCGGCTACACCTGCCACGCCATCTACCAGCAGTCGCTCGGCATCCAGCTCTTCCCCATCGACGACGTCTACCTGGGCATGTGCCTGGAGAAGGCGGGGCTGGCGCCTGCCTCCCACATGGGCATCCGGATGGTGGGCGTGAGGGTGCCATCCTCCAAGCTGGAGTCCTTTGACCCCTGCTACTACAAGGAGCTGCTCCTGGTACACCGGTTTGTGCCCTACGAGATGCTGGTGATGTGGGAGGCCATCCGCCAGCCGGATTTGGTCTGCGGGAAGAACGTGGTGGTAGACCAGAGTTTGTGAGGCATCGTAAGGAAGGGGAGCCCTGCCCGCTGGGGGAGGGGGCCGCCTCGCTCTGGAAGGGCCCCAAACCCTCTTGCTGCAGGGCAGTGGTGGGATTCAAATAACTGGACAACCGGTTCTCTGCCCTCACAATTTCTTCCAACAACCAGTTCACCAAACTGCTCAGAAAGTTAACAACCGGTTCTCCCAAAGTAGTGCAAACCGGCTGAATCCCACCACTGCTGCTGGGGCTCTGGCGAGACGTTTTGGCCGGGGGTTGCCTTGGACAGCCTGCCCCTTCCTGCGCTGGCATCAAGCCTGCATGGAACCCAGGGGGCTGGCAGGGAATTTTTGGGCAGGGCTGCCTCCTTACTCACTGGCCACAGGATCCGTTGCCCAAATCCACCCTGCAGTGAGCAGGTCCCTCTGGATCTCTGGGGGGAGGGCCAGGAGCCACGGGCGGTATTCTCGTGGGGGAGGGGGCTCTGCTACCACCCCTCTCCTAGAAGACCAACTGCCAGTCGGGGGCGGGGGGCACGGATGGCAGCACCTCGTCCGTCCCTCTTCCTGCAGGGAATTGAGCTCCAGCCTGGTTTCCTCCTGAGGCCACTGGGGGGCCAAGCCCCCCTTCACAACCGGATAGCCCCTTTGGGGGGGGGCTTCTCACCTGCTCTCTCCCATTGCTCAGGTGCCTCCCTTTCGGTCTGGGGGGGGCAGCTCGGGCGGGCTCCCCCCTCCCCCTTGGAGAACAAGCCAAGGCGCTCTCAGGATAGGCCAGGAGGAGCTGGGGGGGGGGGGGGCGGCCCCCCCCCGGGGGGGGGGGGGGGGGGGGGGGGGGGGGGGTCCCATCCTGGCACAGGCTCAGCCGCCCCTCCCTCCCCCAGCTGCAGCAACACGGCCTTTTCCCAGAGGGCTTCTCCCCACTCTACGCTACCTCCCTGGCTCCCTTGCCTTCTGTGAGGTGGGGGGCAGTCCTTCTGGACCCCCACCGCCTTTGGAGCCAGACAGGCTGACCCACAACCGCAGGGTCCAGAGGGAAGTGCATCCCCCCCCCGCAGCCTTTGCGTTGTGGCCCTCAGGGCCGGTGGGGGGAGGGGCAGCCCTCCTGGGCCAGGGTCTCCCCGGGTGGGGCTGTGCGTGGCCCCCATCCTGGGGCAAGGCGGGGCCGGTGCTGCCTTGCTCGGCCAACCTGGCTGGATTTCTGCCCCAGTGCAGGGGGCCTCTTGACCCCCAAGGAACCGCTTTTCCGGAGGGGCAAAGAGCCCCCCCCTCTTGGGGGCACTGAGGAAGGAACGAGACGGCCGGCAGGTCCTTCCAGGCGTTTCCTGTGGGCCAAGAGAGGTTGAAAGCAGCGGCAGAGACTGAGGTCGGGGCGCAGGTGAACCGGCCAAGCGGCCAGCCGCTTTGGGGTCAACCACGCTGTGCAAGACACACCTGTCAAGTGGTCCAGCAGGCCTGTCCAGTATCGGTGCTACTGACACAGGTTTGCTCTGGAAGTCCTGGGGACATCTGGGTGTTTCCCTGCTTTGCACACACGCACACACATTGTCTCTCTCTTTGCCCAGTTCCTGGGGCCCTGAAGCCGTTGTGCCACTGAACCGGCTGCTTCCTGGCCGCCCTTGAGGGCGCTGGCTGAAGCGAAGGGCCGGGGCAGGGGGGGGGCCCTCGTGCGCCCGACTGCCTGGACCCCCTCTGGAGCAGACGCCAAGCGGCAGGTCGGCCCCCTGAAACGTTTCCTCTGCTTTCCTTGCACCTTTTATGACTTTGTCCTTGTGTAATCTTCCATTAAAAGGCAGTTATTTATTTTATGATCTTTTTGGCACTGAAATGGATTAAGCGGGCCAATGGCCGGAGAGGCATCGCCTTTTGGGTTCCTGGCAGAGCAGCAGAGATGCCAATAACCCCCCTGCGGGTTTGCCTCTCTCAGCCTGGAGGAGGCGCAGCCCCTGGGCTCGGAGGCCACTGTGGACACTGCGGGACTGCGGACACTTTAGTCCCCATCCGGGGGGCGGGGGGGGGGGGCTGGGCGTTGTGGAAGCCGACCTCGGGAGGTGGCCTTCAGCAGGTGCTGACCTGTTCTGGAGAACCGGTAGTGGGAAATTTTGAGTACTTTGGAGAACCGGCCAATCCCACCTCGGACTGGAGATTTTGCAGTAACCTTCCCCTGCCACGCCCACCAAGCCACGCCCACAGAACCGGGAGTAAAAAGGTTGGACTCCCACCCCTGCTGACCTCTGAGAGCACCTGGCAGGCCCCCCCACGCTCCCCCCTGAGAAACCCTTCCGACCTCTGGACAGGCTTATTTGGCAGGGCAAGCAGGGCGCCTGGGGGAAGGTTTGGAAGGAACCTGGGAGAGACGTGGAGGCCAAAGTCTGCCATGTTCGGGCTTGTCCCGGGCAGGAAGAGCCGCTCCCTCGAGAGCAGCGATGGGCAACGCCAGAGAGAGAGAGAGAGAGAGAGAGAGAGAGCGCGTTCCTCTTCGAAGACATTTTGCTCCTCACCCAAGAAGTTAAAACAAAACTTCAAGGAAGCTTCTTGGATGACAAGCGAAACGTTTTCAATGAAAAACCCAAGAAAGCCCTGTTGCCTTTTGGAGAAAAAGACCCCTAGATCTGAAACTAACCAGGACATGAGACGCCTCAGGGCCCATCGCCAGCTGTTCTCCAAGGCCAAAAGCCAACAGGAGCCGGACTCTGCAGTCTGCAAGTGAGCAAATTCCACCTGAGGGGGACCTGAAAGCCCAATTCCCTCCCCCCGCCTCCCCTAACAGCCCGAGAAAGACTTTCTGTGCCCCCTGTGCAGCTGTGGGCAGAGGCCTCTCCTCCTCCGAGGAGGACCATTGCTCTGGGCAGTGCCCCTCCCTCCAGGCTCCCATGGAGTCCTCCCCCCCTCCCTGGGAAGAGAGAGCTGGGGGGGGGGCTGCTCCTGGTGCCTCCCCCCAGGGTTGCCCTCCGAGGCCTTTCTGGGGCAGCCCCTCTGCCCCCCCCCAGGTTTGGCCGGCCTCTCCTTTTCCAGCCTTCCCCGAGGCCCCAAAGACCCCCTTTACATGGGGGGGGGGGCGCACGGAGGGCCGTAAAAAATGTTTCCAAGAGAGGAGAAAGAAACGGAGACTCTGGAGGGGGCCCAGCAGCAGGTAAACCAAACAGTCTAAAACAGAAGAATCCCCTCCCACCCCTAAAAAAGGCCGAGAAATAGGAGCCTCCCTCCGCCTCCAGGGGCCTTGCCAATGGCAATAGCGCCCCCTTTTGGACACCTCTAGCACGACCGCCTCCCAAGGCACAAAGAGCCGGGACCAAAGGCGCCTTCGAGGCCTCGCTGGGGAGGGGGGGAGGACGGGGGGGCGTTAACCTTTTGGGCGCCGAGAGCCGAAACGGGAGCGCGCGCGGGCCGAAAGGGAGCCGCGCCCGGAGCGGCGGCTGTGGGTTCAATGGAAGGGACGCAAGGTGCACCTGAATGAAGGTGGGCCATTCCAGGAAGGCCTGGACATACGAGCTGAAGTCGCTCAACGCCCTTTCCCTGCCTGCGAGGCCCCCGTTCGTATCTGGTGGCAACTCCGGGGGGGGGGGGGGGGTCCCTGGAGGGGGGCGGGGGCTCTCCCGGCGGCAGCGGAGGACAGAGGTCCGATGTCCGGCAGGGGCTGGCGGGGAGCCAGGCTGGGAACCCCCAGGGTCAGGCAAGCTCCCCTCCGCCAGAGCCCCAACATCCCAGAACCTGGGCTTCTTCCCCTTGAGGGCACCGGGACATCCGGAGGGGGAGGGAGCCCCTCCTTTGCCTGCCGTCGGCCCCTCCCCCTCCCAGGCTTATGAGGGGGGGGGCAGGGGGGGAAGGCGGCGCGCGGGGGGGGGGGCGGGGGCCGGGGGGGGGGGGGGGGGGGGCCAGTCCAGAGGAGCTGGGGGCTAGAGCCCCCTGTTGGTGCCTTTGGGTACTTCCTGAGCCCTGGCATGAGAGCAATCCTTCCAATATTTGAGGGGCTGCCCCAAAGAAGGGGGGGGGCGGGGGGTTTGCAACGGATGGAAACTCATCAAGGAGAGAAGCGACCTGGAGGCGTTTCCTGACAATTAAGCGGTGGAACCGAAGTGGTGGGGGCTCCATGCCTGGAGGTCTTTAAGAAGAGCCTGGACAGCCCCCTGTCTGCATTGGCATGGGGTCTCCTGCCTGAGCAGGGGGGAGTGGACTAGAGGACCTCCGAGGCCCCTTCCAACTCTGATATCCTGTTATTCTGCCATCCGTGAATGGACCGGATTATGGGGTGGAATTCCACCTGCCCTTCATCTTCCTCGGATGGGGCAACCGCAGCCCTGCTGTCCCCTTGACCCCTCCACGCCATCTGATGCCAGCACCACCATATTTATCTGGAAGAATGAGCGGTTGGGGGGAGGTTTTAGGGTGGCTCTTCCTCTTCTAGGGGTGCCCCGAGGTTCAGCCCTCTCCCCAGTCAGTTGCGGGGGGAATGGCCTGGCTAGGGCTGAGTCGCCTGGTTGCCCTTCCCCACTTACAGATGATGGCATGGGGGGAGGCAGCGGCTGATACCCAGCAAGACGGAGGCCGTGCCTCTCCAGACCCCACCTGGCTCCTTGCCAGCTCTGCCCGCCTCACCACCCTTAGAAGCAGCAGGTCTTCGCCCGCCTTTGCCAACGGCTTTTGAGCACCAGCTGCCCTCCTGGGCTCCAGGCTGGCACGCCAGCTGCCCTCCAGGCCCTCCTTGTGTTCGGGCTGGCCTTCTGCAGAGGGAGAGGCTGCTATACGTTTAATCTAATCCTTCAATGTTTTATTGTGGTTCCAGAGGATGGAAAGCTGCCCGGAGCCTATTGATCAGGTGTGGAAGGCAGGCTGCCGTAAATCAGCAAAATATGTCCCAGATCCCAGGACGGATGCAATTCCACCCTCTGGCACCCCTCTCGGCCTCCCTCCGAGCCCCCAAAGCCCCCCAGCAGGAGGAAGCCAGTTGGTAACCCCCACCCAGGCCCAGAGGAGACCCGGGAATCTTCCCTGTATGGGGGGTGGGGGGGGGAGTTTTTAAAGATTCAGAATCCATCTTGAACCCTGAAGCAAGGCTGCCTGACCTTGGCCGCTTTAAAGACTTGGGGACATGCTGGCTGGGGGATTCTGGGAGTTGAAGTCCGCACGTCTTAAAATGGCCAAGTTTGGGTGCTCCTGCTGAA